GGAAGGGGCATCTTGAGGAATAAACTGCCTGTGAAGTCGACAGGTCGCAGTGCACGGGTTAGATCCCTCGCTGCCTGCTCTTTATAGCTTTTGCTGGTTTGCTTTCTGTATTTCTGCTCCTCTGGGAAGAACCATCTCTCTGAGGAAACAGTTCATTTTAGCAGTGCACACCTACTTTGCAGCAGGCCCTGTGCTGGCATGGAGAGGGGAGAATGCAGCCTCCACTGCGGCTTAGTGGGAAGAAGAGACAGAAATGTCACATCAGTGAGATGACCTTGGGCTGGGTCCCGGCGAGATGGGTCTGCCCTCCCAAGCAGCCACCTTGGCCTGTGTTCATTGAACACACGTGCACACACGCACATACCAGCCTCTTTCCCGTCACAGCTAGGAGGACCCTGGGTGCCACCTCTCCTTGGCTTGCAGAGGAAGTGAGCAGAGCTCTGCCCAGCCGGCCCCTGCCTGCAGATCCTGCCTGTTTCCCCGCAGCCCAGGTGCACCCCTCCCTCCTGAGTTGGCAGGCTCACCTCCCTGCTTTTTCACCCACCTTTTCTCTCTAAGTTCCTCTTCTGTTTCCTTCCGTATTAATACAAGGGCATAGCACATATTTAATGCACACAGTAGCGTACGTAGGGTTGCAGATATTTAATGCGCATAGTAGTGCACATGGTCTTAAGGGTGCAAATCCTAGGAGGGTGTGTGCTGTCCTCCCTGCCCCTCTGCTCAAGACCTTCCTCAAGGACGAGCAGAGACCAGGAGGGGGGCTGCGTTTGTGAGCACACAGCTCGGCAGAGGACCCCCAGCTAAAGGGAGGACTGGGAGCCAGGGACAGGGGTTGGCTGGCGGGGCCCTCGTCCCTGCGAGTCAGGAGCTGGCAGCCAGCTCAGCCTGAAGAGGGTTGGAGAATCTAAGCTGGCTCCATTGGCGGTTTCCTAAAATGTGCCTCTTTGAATTGCCCTTCCTCTCCCCCATCTGTCCCAAGGTTGCTCTGTGTGAGGACAGCTGTGCCTTCCAGGGTGCCAGCCGCAGTCCAGGGTGGGCACAGCAGTCCTAGAGCCCGGGCCCGAATTCCCCTGCGTTCTCATTTCTGACGTTCGCTCGGAGCCAGCGCTGTGCGTGCTCAGCCACAGACTTGCCGTCTGACATGGAGGTGGCCAGCCGCGCCGTGGGCCCAGACCAGGCAGGTGGCGTGCTTCCGCCTCCCTTGATCTCTCTGTAGCATTTGACTCACGGGCTTCTCTCGCCTGAGTCTCCAGCAGTAAGAGCGATGGGGGATGTAGGGAACACATTAGTTCTCCTCCTCCTCTACCCGCTGGCTAGGGCAGCCCCTGGCCCCCAGCCACGGACCAGTTCATTCTCGGTCCCCTGCTTGCCCTCCTTACCGGCTTTATGCCAGTCAGCGGGTCAGGATCAGCGGCTGGAATGACAGAGGACAGTCGTTCCAGCCTGTCCATCTCAGCTCCCTCGGGCACCCAAGGGGAAAGAGAGGCCCCGGGAAGACCAGACTCAACCCTGGACCTCGAGTGAGTTTGCGCAAAGCCAAACATGCGCTGGTCTTGTTTTTTGCACCTTCCTCCCAGCCACAAAGCCCCCTTCCGTGCTTATGGCAGACGGTGACATGAGGCAGAGGAGGTAGCCCTGTCTGAGGGCCGGCAGACCAGCATGCTTAGCCGTGTGGCCTTTCCTCAGGGGCTTCACCTCTCTCCTTACCTGTCCAGTGGAAGAATAACAATTAGATTTAGGAAGAACAGAATAGCCTGTGGGCGGCCACAGATTGATGGCGTATTTTGGTTAAAGTTTAAAAAAACGTTTTAAAGGAACAGACCTCTGTCCTCAGTAGATCAAAGGACAGGTTAGTGTCAGTTTGAGGGTTCCCTTGCCAGGGACCCCAGAACTGTGACCGCACTAGGAAGTGACCCAAAGAGGACAAGGGGTTCATTCCCTAGAGATGCATTGGGGGTGACTGTTTTGGCGGTGCCAGGTTTACGGCTGCCTTCTCTTGGGCACCCCACACATCCGCGCCATCACTGCGATGAAGAGTTCGGTAGCAGGGTCAGGCCCCTTTTCTTCCTACTTCTCCTCCCCACATCATGGTCTTTTGGTTCAGAAGCTTCTGCAGAAGTGAGATCTTCCTGTCGAGAAGTACAGAGGTTCCCTGGCTTGCTTCCAGGGGTCACCCCTGTGGTGCCCCTGCTTCTGTGGAGTGCCTGGCCGAGCAGAGGGGTCACCTCCACCCTTACCTCAGTCACAGGGGAATGGGCAGGAAGGCTCCAGGCTGGTTGTCCTTGGCACGGTGGCCCAGGAAATAACGCCACCTGCAGTTTGGGGCGGGAACTGCAACACCTGTAAACTGGGCACCTGGTTTGCCCATGATCAAGGAGACTTCCCCACTCTGATGGGGATCCATTTATTTGGTTAAAAAAAAAAAAAAAAAAAGCGGCCAGAATTGTAGTATCTTTTAAATGTTTACTTTGAACAGGGTAACACATTTCACACCCACACAGCAGTGTGACTGTCACATTCACAAGATAACAGGAATTTAAAAGAAAAAGCAAAAAAGACCACAGTGCACCAAAGACTGGAGGTGTGGCCAGGTTTACAGTTGTTTGATGAACATGTCCGTTCGGAGCATGTCATCGTGTGTTAGCCGCTTTGGCGAGAAGGTCCTGAGGTGACGTCTGAGGGAGCCATTTGTGACTGTGGCCAGCGCTGGGCCTATCCATGGGGTCTCCACACCTGATGCTCTGGGGTTCACAGTTGCACAGGTCTCTTTCCTGAGGTGGCCTACCGTGTGTCAGGTCCAGCCTAGAAGAACAAGTACCTGGTGTGCACCTGTGGGATAGAAGTCGGCATGGTTAAGGTCGGCCGTTGCTTTGGACACTCGGGTCAGTTAGCTGCAGCCTGCGTGCTGCCCCCTGCTGGTCATCATGGCAATGGGCGACACTGGTCTGGAAGAGTAGTTCTCTGAGCATCGTCCGGGGTATCTCTGGGGGCTTCCCAGTGCCTTTCAGGGACCCCTTGAAGTAAAAACTATTTTTCCCATTGTTATAAAACACCCAGCTATAGTCTCTCACAACTGTACAGAAAATGAAAAGTTCATGGATATGGTTTCAGGTGCCACATTGGAACTAATCTTTAAGAAACTGCCGTCTATTGAGTTTGGGTGCAGTATCAAAGAAAAGCATCCACAATTGTCTAGGAAAGCTCTTACAGTATTCTTCCATTTTCTAACTGTTTTACATCTCTGTGAGAGTCTGGATGTTCTCTTTATACTTTTACAAAATGACATATCACAAAAGATTGAATGAAAAACCAGATAGGAATATCCAGCTGTTTTTACTTAAGCTAAAAATTAGAGTTGTAAAAATGTAAAACAGCAGCATTCTTCACATGAATTGCTTTCTTTTTTGGTCTTTTTTGAGATGGGGTTTCACTATGCAGTTTAGGTGGGCCTTGAATAAGCAATCCACCTGCCTCCGCCCCCTGAGGGCTGGGATTACAGGCGTGCATCACCATGCCTAGCCTATGAATTGCTTTTGAAAAGTTTTTTTAGTAAGATATATAAATTACCTGAATACCTATGGTTTTATTATATTTAATGAATTAACATTTTTTAAAATTTCCCACTTTTAATTTTTAATGTAGTAACAATTTCAAAACATAATAGTTTTGGGCTCCTAATTTTTTTTTATAAACCAGACATGGTGTCACATGCTTGTAATCATAAGACTCTGGAAGCTGCACCAGGAGGATAGCAAGTTTGAGCCCAGGTAACTTAGTGGGTTAGCAAGACCCTGTCTTGTAAATAAATAGAGCTGAGATGCAGCTCAATTCAAAGGTCCTGGGTTCAGTCTCCAATGTTAAAAACTATTTTTGTATAGTTGGGCTGGGGACATAACTCCGTGTTAGAGCATTTGCCTAATGAGCATAAAAACCTGGGTTTGATCTCCAGCACTGAAAAACATAAAGAATAAAATAATATACACATAGGATCTAATGAGTTGTAAGCCACATACCATAAAATTCAGTGGTTTTAATGTATTCATGAAATTGTGCAACCATCACTCCCACTTAACTCCAGAATATTTTTGTTATCCTAAAACCCATTAGCAGTCACTCCTCATCCTGCTCACCCTGGGCCAAACTCATGTGATTTTCCTCTTTTCTGTCCCTACAGCATGCATGTGTGTTTGCACATGTGCGTGCGCACATATACACACACTCCCTCCCTCCCTTCAGAATGTGTGAGCAGCGTCCTTATGACAGATGATCAGAGGGTTTCATCCTGTCTTTGGTGACCAAGAGAAAGCCAGCTAAGCTAGCCTCTGCTCACATTAGGCCATCACGTAGTTCTAAAGCAGGGTCCCTCCCTGTGAGATACCCCGGGCAGTCCGTGTGGACAGTGCCCCTTGGAGTTGTGGCCAGTGGAGATGCTGGCTGCTGCCACCCCTCCCTGCCCCCCTCCCTGCTTAGAAAGCACAGTGGCCTTTGATGTGCTCCTCGTAGGGTGAGAGCATGGATGCCTGGGGCCCCCATTCTGGGTTCCCTCTGTTTGGAGGCAGGTTGGGGTTTGGTCTTGCTGTCTGGTCCCCACCAGGGCCTCTCCTGAGTGAGCTAGGGCTCACTCAGTGATGCAGGGGCTGATCTGGAGATGACCAGGGATCCAGTGTGCTCCAGGGCCAGCCAGCTGACAGTTGCTGAGGCTGTGCCTCTTCTCTCTCTCCTGATTCTCACCCTTTGATGTCCTGCTAGTTATGTCCATTTTAATTGTTGGGCCACACAGTCCACGTCCTTACCCCTCCCAGAATTCGGGGCCTTTGGAAAAGGAGCTTTGAGGGAGCTGTGTTTTGCTGGAGGAGTGAGAGCCAGGCGTTGGCAGGGGCCAGTGTATGGGGATAGGTTGGAAGTGCCAAGTGTCTGGTGCCTGGGTGCAGAGGGACCCTGTCTGGCATTTGCACCCCAGTCAGTGACATTCTCTTTCCTTTTCCCTCTTCTCATCTCAGATGTGACCCCTGCCCTGGGCTGGATGCACTGAGCCATGGCAGACACCATCTTTGGCAGCGGGAATGACCAGTGGGTCTGCCCCAATGATCGGCAGCTTGCCCTGCGAGCCAAGTGAGTACCTCCAGGGCCCCCAGGCAAGGTTCCTTCCTAGGAGGTAGAAGAGGAGTTTGGAGGAAAGAGCCTGTTGAACGCATGCCACACTCTGAGCCTTGAGCTAGGGACGTAACTCGTCTACCCATGTGGTGTGCACCCTTACTGCTCAGGTGAGGAAAGTGGGGTATAGCTCTTTGCCCACGTCACTTAACTAGTGTGTGACAGGGTTGGGACACACATGTGGGCCCCCCAACTCCCGTGGTGCGCTTTATCACAGTGGGCCCCAAGGAACCAGGCCAGCTCATCTCCCCCTCTCTAGTCGCTGAGCCGTAAGGTTCAGAAGCCCCTTAGGCAGGCAGCTTTTGATCTCTGGGTGCCCGCTGCAGAGCTCAGTGCCCGACGTGACCAGAAAGCACAGGCTTGCTCCAGGAAGGGCTCCTCGGCCGAGACCACAGCCAGCCTGTTCCCCAGGTCCCTCCCATGCTCTTGACATTGTCTCTCTCCTTGCCTACCTCAGCTAAGGTCTGCCCCAGTTTTCCTGTTAACCCTCAGCTGGTGACCCTGCAGCTCCAGTTAGACCTGACCCTCCCCTGCACGGTCCTGTCCCCTGTGTTGGGAGGGGTAGGGCACTCTCAGATGTGGCTCCTGCCTTCCACTCCCTCCTCAGCCCTTTGAGGGGCAGAGTCCCTGGTGTCTGATGGGTCCAAGAGTGCCCCCAGCATCTGTCAAACTGTGCCAATTAAGGGAGCCAGCATTTCCCAACTGGGGCCAAGTTTAAGAAATTTGCAATTAGATGTTATGAGCCTGCAGGGGGACAGAGCCGGAACATCAAAGAGGGACAGTAAAATTAATCTGAAACGCCCAAGATGAGTGGCGTCATGCATGATTGGCAGGAATCTTTGCCTCACAACTAATTTGTCCCCTCTGCCCGATGGCTCAGCTCCCTTCAGCTTCCCCTACCTGACCCCTGCAGGGAGAGTGACCAGGGCTGAGGTCAGTTCCTTCCTCTCTTCTGATGCCAAGTGGCTGATGTGTCCTCCTGGCAGAGGACATGTTGCTGGGGAGAGCTCAGCTGCATGCACTCTGTATAAGGGCCTGTGTGGCCCTGTTGTCCCCTCCAGCATCCCTTCCTTCTCCCTGACCTCTGCTCTCAGTGGTAACCAAAAGCTGCCGTAGCACTTCCAGAAGAGTGAATGCGCTTGTCTCTTCTCTGGGGTGTGCTGTCTGGAAGGCCTGGCAGTCTCCGTGAAGGGCGGTTGTACAAATGCCAGGGCTGCTGGGCTAGGAGCTGTGCCCACGGGACCCTCCAGGAAGCTTGGGGAGCTCCTCTTTGCTCCAGCAGAGAAGGGTCCTCGGCCACCACCCAACATGTTCTAAGCCCCTCCTGTGTGCCAGGCACTGGTGGTCCAGCAGTGAACAAAACCAACACAATCTCTTGTCTTCAAGCAGAGCTGGGGAGAGGTGAGCATTATACAAATGCGTCCCCGTGTGTAGCTGCCTCGACAGTGGTAATTGGCAGTGGGGATATGTGGTGGGTGCCAACTTAGTCTGGGGATCGGGAGACTTGTTTCTGCAAGTGTGGTGCTTAGGTTGAGACTTGGAGAAGGAATAAATGTTTGCTGGAAATATGGGGAAGTTCTACAGCATATGCAAAGGCCCGGAAGTGTTCTGGCATAGGCGGGCATGCAGAGGCCCTGACAGGAGGCCAGTGTGGCTTGAGTGCAGATAATGAGGGGTGAATGGTATGACAGGAAGGAGAGAGGGGTGGCTGGGGTAGGTGGTGCAGGGCCTGGCCCTCTAGAGACGCCCATTCTGAGGGGAGTCAGTGCGCCTCGTGTGGAGTCTCAGTGATGCTGAGGCCCGGTGGTGGGCACACACCTAGGCCTTCCAGGAGCTTCATCATGAGCTCTGAACCTGTGGTACCTGGGCTGTCCCCAGACCCTCCCCAGGGGCTTTATGGACGCTGTGATGGCACCAGGTTCACCCGGGGCAGCCTCTCCACCACCACGTCCTTCTCTCCCGAGGCTGCAGACAGGCTGGTCTGTGCACACCTACCAGACCGAGAAGCAGAGAAGGAGCCAGCGCCTGAGCCCAGCCGAGGTGGAGGCCATCCTGCAGGTCATTCAGAGGGCCGAGCAGCTGGACACCCTGGAGCAGCAGAGGATCGGGTAAGGGCTGGCCGGACTGGGCAGCAGCCAGGCTGGTGGGGGGATCGGGGCACCGTGGGAAAGCTGGTGCGCTGAGTCCTGGTGCTCTGTGTCACCACTGAGCACGAGTCAGGGGGGCCCCAGCTGCTCTGGAAGACACCCTGGGGTGCAGGCAAGTGTCCAGACCTTTCTGTAAGCTAGGGCTAGGGATGGATGTGTGCGCCCCAAGCTCCTAGGCAGGACTGAGATCGGTAAACCTCCTTAGAGGCTGTTGGGCTTACCCAGCTGCCCACCAGCTGTTCTTCAGGCAAGGGACAGAGTCACATGGCTGCTGACCAGTGAACCGCCAGTCCCCCAAGGCCCCAACGGAAGGTGTCCTCAGAGTGTTTGAGATTCCTTTCCTGTCTCTCACATCTAGATATGGCCGCAACTCAGTTGTCCAACATTTTTGTTGTGTCTTTTTGTTTGTTTCATTACAAAAGCAATTCCTATTTCCTAGAACATCTGAGAAATACAGAAAGGTACAAGTAGGAAATCACAGTCTTACTGCACTGCCTTGGGCAGAGATTTAGTTCATTCTCATCTTGTTCTTTTTCTATTGATTATATGATCATTTTTAAAGTCAGGCATTGTGGAAACCCAGTTTGGAAGGTAAAGGTACCACTATTGAGACCACTGCTGTTCTAAGTCTGCTGTGTGCGCCTTAATAATATAGATGAGTTGTTATCATTTTAGTCTGGAAGGGCTTATATTAGGCTTGCTGGAGTTTTCTTGTGTGTCCTCTACCCTGTGTGGGCCCCACCACCTCATAGATCTCAGCCACACAACCCTGCCAGGCCCTCACGTGACGCAAATGTGGTTGACTGACCCGAGCTCCTCGCGGCTCCAGGAGGGGGAACAGGGAGTGGATGGGTGGGAGTGCTTCATGGTGGGCTCCTCTGTGCTCTCGAAGCACTCATGGACCCTCTTAGCCCTTGACCCTTTTGCCTTCCTGGAGCTGCCGTAGGGAGTTCTGTTTTCTGGCCCTACTGTGGGAGCTGGGAGGGCTGGGGAATGGAGTGACCCGGAAGGCAGTGGTGCAGGTTAATTGCTCGGAGGGAGGAGGTGCATCTTGTGTTCATAAGAAGCATGGAGATATGAGGTAGACTGACTGAGGGTCCCCAACAACACATGGATCCTGCCGGGGCTGGGGCTGTGACCCAGTAGAAACCAGAAGTGCTTGCTGGAGGGCACGTGGGTAGAGGCAGCCTCACCTGCCAGTCTGCCATCCTATAGTCCCACAGAGTGCAGAGTCAGCCTAGGGGAAAGTGGGGGCCATGCAGGGGTTAGTGCTGGGCCAGACAGGCCTGGAGATGGATCCAGGCTTCACCTCTTTGGGAACTTTGTGGCCCCAGCAAGTGACCTCCATGTCTCTGAGCCTCAGTTTTCTCATCTTTAAAATGGGACATGTAGCATCCTTCTCACTGGGGCATGTGACAGTTGGAGGAGATAATATGAACGTACATCCAAGAGTTTTCACTGCGTGTCTGCTGGATCCCGGAAATACAGTGGCCGACACACCAGAACACTTCCGTGGCCGTTGTTCACGTGGCAGGGATGGCAGTGTGAGGAGGGGCTGCAGGACCTGAGGAGGAACTTGCCCAGGCTGAGTGGGGTCCCTGGGCGCTCAGTCTCTAAGGGTTTCGAGGAGGAGCTGCTATTTTCTTGCCTGCCCAGGTGCTCATACCCAAAGCCTTTCATCATCCTGGACCTCTCACCTGCCCCAACCAGCCGCCGGTGCAGTCTGCTCCTCCCTCCCAGCTGGCCACAGCTCCTACTGGCCTCCTTCCCTCTGCCCTGCCCTGTCTCCCAGCTTTCCACAGAAGCCAGAGTGAGCTTTTAAAGATGTCCCTCAGGCCGAATCACTCCCTCCAGAGAACTCTTCAGTGGCTTCAGGTGGAGCTTAGAGGAAAAAAAAAAAAAACCCAAACTCCATTTTGTGACCTGTGGAGCCCGTGCAGTGTACCCTTGCTTGCTCCTCCTGTCTCTCTCACTGGGCTTTTTTTTTTTAAATCCCTGCCTCCCTTGGCTCCCTGGGCAGGAGCCTCAGTGGCCTCCTTTCTAGTGGCTGCTTCTCGGCCCGAACCTTGGTGCCTGCTGTTCCCCCCACCTGGAGGCTCCCCAGCCTTTGTATCACATGGTTAGGTTCTTGCCAACCTTCCCCTCTGTCCTCGTGTTTTCAGAGTGCCTTCCCTTGTCACCAGCTAAGGTGCCTCTTGCCCCTGGCTTCCTCCCCATCCCCCACTATCTGCATTTCAGACACAGCTCCCTGTCAGAAGCCAGCTTGCTTGTTCACTTATTTATGGATTTCTTCCATATTGAGCATACGTTCTGTGAGAATAAGGGCTGTGTCTGTCCCTGGCTTGTTTGCTACAGTATTCACGGTGTTTGGCGCACCCTAGGTAATAGTTGACGAGTGAATAAATGGTTAGCATTTAGCCAGGGGAGAGGCTGGGGCATGGCTCAGTACTCTAGTTAAGCGAACAGCACAGGTGGCATAGTCTTGGGACTCTGTGGTGGCCCAGGCAGTGGTTGGGTTGGGGACAGGAAGCACATGCCCTCTGACTCGGTGTCACGTGCTGCAGGCGGCTGGTGGAGCGGCTGGAGACCATGAGGCGAAACGTGATGGGGAACGGCCTCTCCCAGTGTCTGCTGTGTGGGGAGGTGCTGGGCTTCCTGGGCAGCTCGTCAGTGTTCTGCAGAGACTGCAGGAAGGTAAGACCCTGCTCCGGCCCTGCCGTTCTGGAGACCTGGCCTAGACCAGCTCTGCTGCTCTGTGGGTCTGCGTCCTGTCTCCTAGGAGTGTGTGTGTGTCTGCATGTGTGTGTGTGTCCTAGGAATGTGTGTGCACATGTGTGTGTGTGCCCATGCATGCGTGTACTTGGGATGCTCAGAACCAAGGTCTGAAGGAGATGGCCTGGCTTCTTAGGCCAGTTCTAGGGAGTGGACTTCTGGGTCAGAGTCTGGGTGGGAACCACCTCTTCCATTTAGCCATGTGACTTCAGAAAACTTGTCTACCACTTCAGGCCTCATCCTCCTCGTCTGTCCAGTAGGGGGAAGGAGAACGTTTACCAGGCACGTAGGCCCTCAATAAGTTAGTTGTCCTGAGGTGAGCACAGCGCCAAGCTGTACGCTGGGATTCCACTTCCTATTCTGTTGGTCTGTTCCCTTGATCCCTAGTCGCTCAAAGAATGATCTTTGCAGCAAGATGACATATTTTCCTTTACTTACGATAAATTGTGCCATATGTTCAATTACTTAATATTGAGTTAAAGACCTTTTAAAGTATTACTTTTAGTCTTTCCTGGAGCTTCTAATTGCTTTGCTTTGTCTTGTTGCCCAAAGCATAACATCCCTCCCAGTTGTCAAGCTTATTGAGTATCTCAATTTCACTGTCTGTCACATGGAGCCCTCTTGATTTTTCCTAGAAGAAGCCCTGCTCCATTTTTATTCTTGCTCTCGTCTCGGCCAGTTGCCGCACAGAAATTATCATGGGACTTCCCTTTGCTGCCTTCCTCAGTTAGGCCATACAGGCATTTCCAAAATACCGTATCTTCCTTTTTTGTTTTCACCCTGGTTTTACTGGAATCCACCTTCCAGTCACTTCCATGTGTCAGTCACCATTTTAAGCCCGGAGTTGTTATACGTAATGAACAAGAGGGAAAAAAAACCTTCCTTCTTGAGATGACATTGGGTGAAGAAACTGAAAACCAGTATGCTCAGATAAACACGTCCTGGGAAGGAGTAATAGGGGACACAGGACGGGGTGGGGCGGGGTGACACAGGTTGAGTGGACCGTTGCACATGGAAAGTAAATGAGAACTTGGACCATCCAGGCCATTGGCTGCCTCGACAAGGGCCTTTTTGTAGCATTCGAAGCCAGATGAGAAGGGGGTTAACATACCCACTTAATAAGTAGGACAGCCAGGATTTGGGCTGTGGTCATTTCCCCCAGCTCTGTCACGTGAATGTGGTGAACTGGCTGAGGAGTGTGGATTAGTTGGTCCAAGCACAGCAGAGGGGCCTGGGTGTTGGGATGTCTGGCTCCTCTATAGGACCTGGATTAGAAGCCAGTGTAGCTGTGGGCTTAGGACCCAGGAATGTCTCACTCCCGGGATTTGGGCAGTTGGCTTATGTTTACCTGGGAGAGCTGGCCCCAGCAGCCTACTGCCTCCTGTCCTTCAACCCCTCAGCTGCTTCAAATATTACAGGTTTGTGGGACCATGAAAAGAGCTGAGCTTTATCTTCTGCTCTGGAAATGTTCCCGGCCTTTAGCACAGAGACTGCCGCCACCCCAGCTACCAAAGAGTTAATCCAGCTGTTCCTAGAAGAGACATTTCCTAGGCAACAGGGCTGAATGCTAGGGAGAACCTCAGCTGTGTGGGCTTTGGGGAATTGTTCTTCCAGACTGCACCCTCCCAATGCCTGCTGGGGGCCCCAGGGCCCCCGGCTGCTGGAGGACATCCCCCTCCAAAGGGGTTTCTACTCTGCAGAAGGCTGAGCACTGGGTCCTGGCTTGGCTGGGGAGGTGGAGGAGCCCTTTGAGCTTGGGGGTCACTCATTCCAGGCCAGAGCTGAGGGGAGAGGTACTAAATGGGGCTCTGACAGATGAAGGGCATTTAGAGGATATAGGAGAGCCTAATCTGTCTTTGAGAAGATTGTGTCATTCACTCATGTTTATTCATTTTTTCAGCTAGGAGAGGGCCCTCCGTGTGCAGGCCCCATTCTAGGTACTGGCCACAGTTGGACTGATATACACGAAATCCCTTTTCTCATCAAGATAATTTTCCAGTAATGGGAGAAGAGAGACAACAAAAAATGAATGAATAAACATAAAATAATGTCAAGTAGACTGAGTGCTGTGTACTGAATTAAGACAGAGTGACGTGATAGCATTTGAGTGTGTACTTAGGGCTTTTTTGAGCTCAGACCTGAACCTAAGCAAAACTCAACCTTGGCAAAAATCTGAGTGGAAAAGTGTT